TCCTATTGTACGTGCCAACAATTCAGAACTGAGTTTCCAGCTACTGATGTCACTAAAACTGTGTTTCCTGTGCTCATTGCTGTTTATTGGACGTCCCACACTGTGGACATGTCAGCTGAGACATGCAGCATTTGGCATCAGCTTTGTGCTTTGCATGTCATGCATCCTGGTCAAAACCATGGTGGTTCTGGCTGTGTTCCAGGCTTCTAAGCCAGGAGCTGGAGCCGGTCTGAAGTGGTTTGGTGTTTTGCAGCAGAGAGGGACAGTTCTGGTTCTTACTTCTCTTCAGGCAGCAATCTGTACTGCCTGGCTTGTTTCTTCCTCACCAACACCTCATAGGAACACCCAGTACCACAATGACAAGATCATTTATGAGTGTGTAGTTGGGTCCACAGTTGGTTTTTCACTGCTACTTGGCTACATTGGCTTTCTTGCTCTCCTCAGTTTTCTGTTAGCATTTTTAGTAAGAAAACTTCCAGATAATTTCAATGAGGCTAAACACATCACTTTCAGCATGCTTATTTTCTCTGCTGTTTGGGTGGCATTTGTTCCTGCTTATATAAGCTCACCAGGCAAATATGCAGATGCAGTGGAGGTATTTGCCATCTTGGCTTCTAGTTTTGGCCTCTTGGTGGCACTGTTTGGACCCAAATGTTACATCATCCTGATGAGACCAGAGAGAAACACAAAGAAAGCAATCATGGGTAGAGGCATCACCAGGTAATCAGATTAGCCAACAAGGCCTCCAGTGTAAATGACCATGTAGCTGTTTGTTCCTACCCTCTGATTTGACCTGGCCAAGTGTACTGCTAACAAAAATATGCTGTAGATAAATCATGCAACAGTGTTTCCAGAGCTGGACTGGTAATCTGGCACACCATGCATTTCCCAGTGGGCCAACCCATCTTGTGGCTGATATAATTTAATTTTAGATTCTTATTTTTAAAAACAGATGGCCAACAACAAGCAGGGACAGTGGCCCAGTGGTTCATTTTCTATACTGACACCAGGCTCGCCCAGTCACATGTCTAAAGTCTTACTTTGGTCCCACCCCTCTTACTCTTTTGTTTGTCATGTCAGTCAGATGCCTTGGCGCACAGTCAAAAATTCTGTGTGTTCAGATCAGGGTGTCAATCCAGCTAGCGTTAGTGATAATAAGATAACATAACATTAATAATAATAATGCTATCACAAAGTGAAAGGGTCACCTACTGCTGTTGGTGAGTCAGTAATGTCAAATAGCGTAGTTGAAGCTTCTTGATATTACCAGCTTTGTGGCAACTTCAAGTGGCTAATGGTATCTAGCTAATGTTATTTTGTCAGCATCACATTGACTAAGCCCATTGCTTTGAGTGGCCTAGGTCCATACTGTATCATCATAATATTGTTAAAATTATTAGGCTAAAGGATTCCTTGATAAAAGTGCATAAAAGGCTATATACCATACAACACCTGGAGCTCTGTTGTACTAAAACATATTATGTCTGCTTATGTTTAATTAGCCTTTGTGGGAAAAAATGCATTTTCAACAACAGATAACAAAGTTGTCATGTGTTTTTTTTTCATCCAGTTAGGGTGGTACATATTAAGGTATATGTGGTATGGATTACTGATTTAATTATCTGTAGGATAGTTTTCCACCTACAACACGTTGACTTTGAGCTGCACCTGGTAGCACATGACCTTTATGTCAAACTCCCCACACAAACAAACAAGCACAGCACTGATTTAATTGACTTAACACATACAATGACCTATTAGTCCTCTCTCTCAGTGTTAATATAAAACAAAAAAGTGATCTATTAAGTGTTTAAACTTTATGCAATATTCTTTTTCTTTTGATGATAAGCACAATATTTTGGGGCATTTGACTAATGCTGTCTCACAAAGTCTCCAGAGGTTGCCCAACAAAATTTATTATGAGGTGTACCATGCTGCAACCTACTGGGTAATTTGTTTTTGTGGGAAGACAATCCCAAATGTAACACTTAAATTAAGTTCATTGACACTACCAGTAGCAGCATATTGCTAATACAATTGGCTGACATTGCCACACAATTATGATGTTTATGTCTCTTATTTATTTAACAGCAGTTAGCAGTTGATTTATTTCATTGAAGCCCTTTTTATCCATTTCTGCTCTTCTCATTATAAATTGATTTCAGTGTTATTCCAGTCCCCGTGGGCCACAGGCCAAATGACAAAGTGGTTGCCAAGACAAAAACAACACGGCAGTCAAATACAGGGACCCATAGACCAACTCTTGTTCTTACTCGGTCACTAGGGATGCCAGCATACACACACTGAGCCACACACAATTCACTGTCAAGATACACAGATACACACACCTCTGACAGCTGGATGGTGGAAATCGAATCCTGCTAAAGGCCAGGTATGCATGTGCTGCTTGTATGGTTACTGTATGTTTGCTAATGTGGGGGTGGCCACCGCAGGTGTATTGATGAGCAGCATGTCAGCAGTTAGTGTGGTGGTCATTCCCTGGACATATGGAATACATAGTCTCAGCTTGGCTTCCACATGCTTTCCATCCCTCAGTGATAAAGTGGAGAACATGTTCACCCCTAACCCTGATAATGCTGCAGATACTTAGGAAGGACTATACGGCATCAATATAAATAAGCAAAATGTCATCTAATATGACAGAGAACACTGGAAAAAAGGAGGAGTACAGGTTTATTCCTTTCATCTAGGAAAATAATATGTGGGGAAAAACTACAACTGAATTGGGAAACAATAAATAATTTTAATAATCACTGATCGTGGGGTGGTGAAGCTGTGGATTATCTCAGCCTGCTAATTTCATTAGCAGCCACACATATGCTGTATTTCACTGTAGAGCATCATTAAACTATTTTGATATCATCATAGAAAAACAAGAAAACCAAAGTATTCACAGAATAATTCACTAAAAACTATATGCATATTTAAAAATATTTATTTTAAAGAACATTAATCAATTCCAATATAGACTTGGAGAAATGATAAAACAAATCTAAACATTATTCACCATTTTTACAAAGTCACTGTCAAAGGAAATGCATTTTAGGCCCTGCCCCCGGATCTTCCTCTGCCCTGATGGGAGGTGTGCAAGATGAAACAATACTGCATGGGAATAAAAATGGAGCATCATAGTGATAACTCTTGACTGGGCTCAGTAAAAAGTAAACCACAGCAAGGTCATGTGGGCTTTATCAGACCCCAGCTTGTTATTAACCATGTTGTTGTATTACCACTTTCTGTGTTCTGTTTCCTCCCCTCTTTATTCCTCCTCCTGTCAGTTACAGGGACAGTTTCATCTAAATGGGATGCACAAAGCTGGAGATGCGATTCTGGGTGGGCTGTTTCAAATCCACTTCTTTTCTGTCTTTCCTGACTTGTCTTTTACCTCAGAGCCACAACAGCCTACCTGCCACGGGTGAGTCTGTCAGTGAAACAGCAAAGCAGAGGATGATGAAAATCAATTCCATTAGTAGAGAGCAACTTAGATAGAAAGAAAGAAAGAAAGAGAGCAACTTAGATAATTAGTTTGCCTCATTTATTTTTGATTTAAGTGTTATAATTGCTGTTACTATTGCATTGGGTAAATTATTTGCAACATAAATATGCCTGCTCTGTTGCTCTAATATGTTGTATTTTTTTAATAGTAGACAGTGGTATTTTGTGTTAGTTTTGATGTTCTAGGATTTAAACGAGCCCAGACCATGGCTTTTGCTATAGATGAGATAAACAAAAGCCACAACCTGCTGCCAAATGTGACTCTGGGATACAGTTTGTATGATCACTGCAACATACTAGAAATCGGATTCCGTGCAGCATTGTCATTATCCAATGGTCAAGAGGAACAAGTCATATTAAATGAGACCTGTGTAGGAATCCCTCCAGTCCTGGGGATTGTGGGTGATTCTTCCTCTACACGTTGTCTTGCTATTTCCTCTGTGTTAGGTTTGTACAGAGTACCTATGGTAAGTGTTGCTCCCCTATGATTTATTAATTTTTCTGAATTATTTAGATTTTACAATAAATATAATGTCATATGGAAACTTGATCCAGTCAACCTTACAAAGTTGACATATGCAGAATCTGTGTTTTTCACAGGTGAGTTATTTTGCCACATGTTCCTGCCTGAGTGACCGGCAAAAGTTTCCATCCTTCTTTAGGACAATCCCAAGTGATGCTTTCCAGGTAAAACACTAATGAAATTTAATCAAACTCATTTAACAAAGGTATCAGAATGAATACCCCTATACTGCATTTAAAATTATTTTGCTTTTGTGTTTTACCAGTCATATTTCTTGTCTTGTAAATGGAGTTGTATGGTCTCAGATAACAATGTGGAACTAAAAAAATATGTGTATGGTCTATTGTGAAGCCTGTTCGGAAAGTGTCTAGTGAAAGGTTATTCTCTTCTGTGCAGTAATCCCTCCACTTTCTATCAACGTAGGTGCGTGCTGTGATTCAGATTCTGAAACACTTCAGCTGGACTTGGGCAGGTCTACTGATCAGTGATGATGACTATGGACTATATGCTGCCCGATCCTTCCAGTCTGACTTGGCTCAGTCTGGTGGAGGTTGTCTGGCCTACTTAGAGGTTTTGCCCTGGAGCAAGGACACAGCTGAACTAAGGAGGATTGTGAAAGTGATGAAGAAATCCGCAGCTTGTGTGGTCATTGTCTTTGCACATGAGAGTCACATGATTGACCTTATGGAAGAGGTTGGGCTTGAAATACAGCTTACTTATAGTTTAATGTTTATTTGTCAGATGGGAAATTTTTATTCTGACACAACAACATCTGCAGCTAAGCCCATCAAACATACAATATTCATAATTGTGTAAATGCTGTATAATTATTTTAAAAGTGTACAGTAAATCCTATTGAGGTTTAATCTGGCCTGACAAGGCAGTGACATTACACTGTTGCAGTCAGGCTGCTCCGCCTGTTCTTACAGGATGCAGCCAGAGGGGATCTGCAGCTAGTGTTTGGGAATCACAGATCAGATTCCAAATTCACCTTAAATAATTCCATGTAGATGTACAAAATAACACATGAAAGCAGCTCATGAGACATGATAAATAGTAAACACCCTGCAGATGCCCAGATTAATAAAGTTTGGGCAGCAGGTAAAGTCAGACCAACATCACTGTGAACTGCTGTCACTGTTAAGTTACAGTTCAGTCAAATGAACGAGTTTCACACAGACATGCCTTCATTACTACCACGAGGATATACACTGTGTTTGTTTTTGCATTTTATTATGGATTAATCAGCCTTGAAAGCAGCTGTAAGTGGAAATAAAGTGGGCAATGCATCCACTGGCTGTGCTCTCTGGCAGACCACAATCAGTTTCACCTTAAACGCAATGATTACAATATGATTTTATTATATTATTTTAAAAAACAGCAAACTGTTTTTAAACATACATGCAAATTCACTGGGGCCTGCCCTCACTAACGATGCAGGAAAATGTAGGGGTATGGTATTGCTTGTGCACTTAAAGGTTTTGGGGAAGCCAAAGGAGGTCCGTTCCACTCTTGTGAACTGGCAAACCCCCAGCAGGGAAAGAAGAAAAAAGAGAAAAAGGCTGCAGATGGGGTGTGGGGTGTGCATTGGGTGGGTAACAAAAAGTGGAAGCAGAAGTATGATGGTTTCTGTGGGTTTAAATAGTGTGAGAACAGAAGAGTGTAGTTTGGGTCAAGTCCCACTGCCAAACTTTATATTTATTATTTCCATTAAACCCAAGGTGTCCCCCCTGCATTTTGCACACGGCATGTAGCTGTGAGTACATTTTATTAAAACTGCTGCTGGTTGCAGAATCAGGAACTTTTTTCTTCCATGCACAAAAGCTCATTAGCAGACCACTGATTAGATATTTATTTCTATAAATTATACTTCTATAATAAATAGCTTTGTCATCCCAATTTAGAAATGTTGTACATAACTGGCAGAACAATAAGATACAAGGAAAGAATCATTATTTTCATATTTCAATGTCATGGCATCAATCAGGTTTCTGCCCTGCCCATTGGACATGACTAAAGCCAGCCCCGACTCCACCTGCACACGATGTGTTCTGCCTCTCCTCCACAGTGTGTCTGGTAACGCCTGGCTGTGTACAAAAGTGTGCTACGTCTGTGGTCACCAAAACTGCAAAACATTGTTGAACACACCCATATGTCCTTTGCGCATGGACTTTAAATATAACTTTGGAGCAAAAAATCTTTCTTACCCATCTCTGTCCAAACACTGGGAACCAATAGATGAACTGCATTTTGTAATCTAAGATTATAGTTGTAATCTCACACCTTGAGACAAATTTGTAGAGGTGTGGAGGCACTTTTCCCAAAATAGCTTTGTAAATAAAATATACCAATCACTCAGTTGGCAAACAGTGAGAGATGACCTGCCAAATTGGGCACTATCATGTTGTATTTTTTAAATTTAACCGTTGTATTTTTGCGTTAGTTTTGATGTTTTAGGATTTAGGCAGGCCCAGACCATGGCTTTTGCTATAGATGAGATAAACAGAAACCACAACCTGCTGCCTAACGTGACTCTGGGATACAGTGCCTATGATAACTGCAACATACTGGGATTCCGTGCAGCATTGTCATTATCCAATGGTCAAGAGGAGCAAGTTAAATTAAATGAGACCTGTGTAGGAATCCCTCCAGTCCTGGGGATTGTGGGTGATTCTTCCTCTACACGTTGTCTTGCTATTTCCTCTGTGTTAGGTTTGTACAGAGTACCTATGGTAAGTGTTGCTCCCTTATAATTTATAAATTCTTCTGTATGATTCAGATTTATCATTAAATATAAAGCCAGTTGTAACCATGAACCAGTCAACCTTACAAAGCTGACATATGCTGTTTTTCACAGGTGAGTTATTTTGCCACATGTTCCTGCCTGAGTGATCGGCAAAAGTTTCCATCCTTCTTTAGGACAATCCCAAGTGATGCTTTCCAGGTAAAACACTAATGAAATTTAATCAAACTCATTTAACAAAGGTATCAGAATGAATACCCCTATACTGCATTTAAAATTATTTTGCTTTTGTGTTTTACCAGTCATATTTCTTGTCTTGTAAATGGAGTTGTATGGTCTCAGATAACAATGTGGAACTAAAAAAATATGTGTATGGTCTATTGTGAAGCCTGTTCGGAAAGTGTCTAGTGAAAGGTTATTCTCTTCTGTGCAGTAATCCCTCCACTTTCTATCAACGTAGGTGCGTGCTGTGATTCAGATTCTGAAACACTTCAGCTGGACTTGGGCAGGTCTACTGATCAGTGATGATGACTATGGACTATATGCTGCCCGATCCTTCCAGTCTGACTTGGCTCAGTCTGGTGGAGGTTGTCTGGCCTACTTAGAGGTTTTGCCCTGGAGCAAGGACACAGCTGAACTAAGGAGGATTGTGAAAGTGATGAAGAAATCCGCAGCTTGTGTGGTCATTGTCTTTGCACATGAGAGTCACATGATTGACCTTATGGAAGAGGTTGGGCTTGAAATACAGCTTACTTATAGTTTAATGTTTATTTGTCAGATGGGAAATTTTTATTCTGACACAACAACATCTGCAGCTAAGCCCATCAAACATACAATATTCATAATTGTGTAAATGCTGTATAATTATTTTAAAAGTGTACAGTAAATCCTATTGAGGTTTAATCTGGCCTGACAAGGCAGTGACATTACACTGTTGCAGTCAGGCTGCTCCGCCTGTTCTTACAGGATGCAGCCAGAGGGGATCTGCAGCTAGTGTTTGGGAATCACAGATCAGATTCCAAATTCACCTTAAATAATTCCATGTAGATGTACAAAATAACACATGAAAGCAGCTCATGAGACATGATAAATAGTAAACACTCTGCAGATGCCCAGATTAATAAAGTTTGGGCAGCAGGTAAAGTCAGACCAACATCACTGTGAACTGCTGTCACTGTTAAGTTACAGTTCAGTCAAATGAACGAGTTTCACACAGACATGCCTTCATTACTACCACGAGGATATACACTGTGTTTGTTTTTGCATTTTATTATGGATTAATCAGCCTTGAAAGCAGCTGTAAGTGGAAATAAAGTGGGCAATGCATCCACTGGCTGTGCTCTCTGGCAGACCACAATCAGTTTCACCTTAAACGCAATGATTACAATATGATTTTATTATATTATTTTAAAAAACAGCAAACTGTTTTTAAACATACATGCAAATTCACTGGGGCCTGCCCTCACTAACGATGCAGGAAAATGTAGGGGTATGGTATTGCTTGTGCACTTAAAGGTTTTGGGGAAGCCAAAGGAGGTCCGTTCCACTCTTGTGAACTGGCAAACCCCCAGCAGGGAAAGAAGAAAAAAGAGAAAAAGGCTGCAGATGGGGTGTGGGGTGTGCATTGGGTGGGTAACAAAAAGTGGAAGCAGAAGTATGATGGTTTCTGTGGGTTTAAATAGTGTGAGAACAGAAGAGTGTAGTTTGGGTCAAGTCCCACTGCCAAACTTTATATTTATTATTTCCATTAAACCCAAGGTGTCCCCCCTGCATTTTGCACACGGCATGTAGCTGTGAGTACATTTTATTAAAACTGCTGCTGGTTGCAGAATCAGGAACTTTTTTCTTCCATGCACAAAAGCTCATTAGCAGACCACTGATTAGATATTTATTTCTATAAATTATACTTCTATAATAAATAGCTTTGTCATCCCAATTTAGAAATGTTGTACATAACTGGCAGAACAATAAGATACAAGGAAAGAATCATTATTCTCATATTTCAATGTCATGGCATCAATCAGGTTTCTGCCCTGCCCATTGGACATGACTAAAGCCAGCCCCGACTCCACCTGCACACGATGTGTTCTGCCTCTCCTCCACAGTGTGTCTGGTAACGCCTGGCTGTGTACAAAAGTGTGCTACGTCTGTGGTCACCAAAACTGCAAAACATTGTTGAACACACCCATATGTCCTTTGCGCATGGACTTTAAATATAACTTTGGAGCAAAAAATCTTTCTTACCCATCTCTGTCCAAACACTGGGAACCAATAGATGAACTGCATTTTGTAATCTAAGATTATAGTTGTAATCTCACACCTTGAGACAAATTTGTAGAGGTGTGGAGGCACTTTTCCCAAAATAGCTTTGTAAATAAAATATACCAATCACTCAGTTGGCAAACAGTGAGAGATGACCTGCCAAATTGGGAAAGCAGGATACAATGCTGTATTAATATTTTTAAAGTTGTAATACTTTGTTAGTACCATGATAGGCAGAGTCCAACATGTTTTATTTATGGATCAATGGTCAGAGTAAGATCCAAGGGATAAGATGATAAAGGGAAAAACACAGGTTACCAGTTTGGTCCAAGATGTTACAACATGAGAGACACAATAAGCTGCGACTGAACAATGTTAAACACAAACTGTAGTTTATGAAGTGCCAATGTCATGCACAGGTGATGAGGCACAATGTGACCGGCCTGCAGTGGATAGCCAGTGAAGCATGGACATCAGCTACTGTGCTGCAGACCCCTGACCTCATGCCGTATCTGGGTGGCACACTGGGCATTGCCATTCGTCGAGGAGAAATACCAGGGCTCAGGGATTTCCTGTTACAAATACGCCCTGAACTACGCCTGAACAACAGCAATGAAAATAATGTGGTGAGAGTTCAGTCTTTCAATCTGAGCTGGTATTTGAAAGAATAGAAAAATACATATATTGCCATTGTTTATAACATCCATTTTTGAATATATTTTAGGTAAATCAGTTTTGGGAATACACATTTCAGTGTAGATTTGCACCACCTTCACCAGGCTGGTTGGAAGCTGGAGGAGCACTGTGCACTGGACAGGAAGATCTAGAGAACGTGGACACTGAGTTCTTGGACATTTCAAACCTTCGATCAGAGTATAATGTTTACAAGGCTGTGTATGCGCTGGCATATGCCCTTGATGACCTGCTGCAGTGTGAGTCAGGGAGAGGGCCTTTCAGTGAGCACAGCTGTGGCAGTCTGCAAAGACTGGAACCATGGCAGGTGTGATACCAAGTTACACTGCACCTGTTAATATGAGTAAATCCAGTTCTATTGTATTTCTTGTGAAATAGGATTAAGGGGATTAATATAAATCTATGAGATTGCTTATCATAAAGTGCTTAACAGACAGCTGAAAGGATTTTACCTACCACTGGGTGACAGCAGAGAAGTCTACATCTTGTCA